TTGGCACAGAAACTGACTTCTGTTGGCTTCTGTTGAGGAGGGATAGAGAAAATGTGTCCCTGTTAATTTTCCTCACACAGCCGCTGGGGAATTTTGAGGGGGCCTGGCCGCTTCCTTGAAAATTTTGGGGGGTGCCCCTGATCGCCCCCAGATGCTGCACCTGCTCTGAAGGAGCAGGTACATAGCTAGAGGATACTTCTGGATCTTTTACTGTTGTTTGAGGCTCAGGTGGTCTCAGTGACACAGAGTGCCTTCCATCAGTTTCAGCTGATGGCCCAGCTATACAGCTGCTGCTGCTGCTATGATGATGATGATGATGATGATGATGTACACCACCATATTCCCCCAGGTCTCAGGGTGATTAGAACATAAAATCACAACATAAAAACACAAAATACATAATATAAACAAAAACAAGCCAATAACCCCTCCTCTCCAAACCCAAGCTCCCCCCCCTTCAACTGAGCACATCCACAACTCTATTGACAGTGTTTTGAATTATTAGTCCCCAAATACCATATTTACTTGAGTCTAATGCACCATTGAATCTAATGCACATCTCAGTTTTCAGAACCTTGAAACCCCCAAAAAATACAGTGGTACCTTGGTTCCCGAACTCAATCTGTTCTGGAAGTCTGTTCGACTTCCAACACTTACTTCCGGGTTTGTGGCATTCAGGACCCGATTTGTTCTTCAACTAAGCCGTTCAGGAACCAAGATACCACTGTATTTGCTGGCGAATGTAAATGCGCCTTTGAATATAATGCACACCTTAACTTTCACAACATAATTTGAGCAAAAAAGGTGAGCATTAGATTTGAGTAAATTCGGTAGTTTTTGCTAAACCTGAAAAGGCTATGTGTGGCGTGTGGTCAGTGGACATGGGGGACTAGGATAGTTCCTTAAATGTTCCTGGTAAATTAGTGTATTAAAGTATTAAAGCCTGGTGCCTCCTTCCCAAAGCCTGGGAAGCTTCTGCCTGGCTTAGGGAGGGAGGTGTGATGCTCACAAGCACAAGGTTGTGGCATTGTGATGTCGCCCCACGCAATTGTCGTCGCAAGCTGGTGCCTCTGGCCCTAACTGTTCCCCTATGGAAAATGTATCTGCATGCCACTACTATGGTTAATGGTGGCAGAACTCTGGTGCCCTCATGAAAGCTTAGGTTGGTGCCCTGTAAATGATAATTGAGAGGAATGGGGAAGCTCTTTGGGTATTTGGATGTTGGTCTCTTAAGAGTGCCTCAGTCCCAGTAACCTGCCTGATCTGCATTTCCAAAAACAATAAACCTAAATGCCACTGTCTTTTGTAAGCTGCACATCTTCAGAATTTTGCAGTGTAATTCTCCAGCCAAACTGATTTGTACAAAAATGCAAAAGTTAGAAGGCAGTGTGCATAAAAATGTGAAAATAAGATGCCAACAAAACCACTATAATGGGGGTTATAATGATTGCAAAGATGTGTTTCCTTAGGCAAAATTATATTACAATGGAGAGAGAGAGAGAGAAATTGGCACTGATGAATTTTTATGAGGACTTAAAAGAAATCCACAAACTGATGTGGAAATATGACAAACTGAACTTCAGTCTGGGAAAACAAGAAACTGAAAGTAACCAAAGTTGACAGATATGTCCATTCGAAGTGAACCATTTGTATTCAGGCTCCTTGAATTTGATTGGGAAATTACCTTCAAGGCACCATAAACATGAAGAGTTGACAGCAACCTTTCCCTAACCTGACATCCTCCTAACATTTTGGACTACAACTCCCATCAACCCCTGCCAGCATGACCTTGTTAGCGCAGGCTGATGGGAGTTGTAGTCCAAAACATCTGGAGAGCACTCAGTCTGGTTTACGGTATAGTGATATAAAGCAGTTTAAAGCAGGCAATTTTGCACACTGTTTTCTAACAGTAGACAATTTCTCTCTCTCTCTCTCTCTCTCTCTCTCTCTCTCTCTCTCTCTTTCTTTTACCAAAAGGAGTGCTTATTATTCATTCCCTCTTTCATAATGTTGGCCCACTTCTTGGAAAACCAGCAATACAAGTGGAAAATATTTGAGGTATCGAGGGACAAACACATGATGTTTGAACACACTTTTAAGTTTTGGGCAAAAAGAAGAGAGGAAGAATTGGTAGGGATCCAGAATGTTGAAGGCAGTGTAGCTTCTGAATGTAGAAGTGAAAGTTAAAAAATGTAAAGGCTGGGGAAAAAGCTAGAGATAAATTCAAGAAGAATGGAGAAAGGGCACAATTACATGCCTCTTGGCAACAATAGCCAGCACAGTGCACTTCAGTGTTTGAAGTGCAGGAGCCCAGAGAGACTAGAGTTCAAATTCGCAGATTCAGAGAGTGGCCTTGGGCCAGTCACTGTCTTGCTCAGCCCAGCCTACCACACAAGCAGGGCCATCTTAAGCATATCTGGGGCCGTGGTGCAAATATCCCTCCGGCACCCCACCGCCTCTTTCCCAGAGCTGTCAACCTTTTCCCAAGCCTCTGTGGGGATCGCTCTCCTCCGCAGGGGCTTGGGAAGGAAGCTGCATGTCCACCAGCCATATAGTTGGCGGGGTGCAGCTTCCATCTTAAGCCTCTGCAGGGTCGCTCTCCTCCTGCGGAGGCTTGGGAGGCAAGCTGCATGCCTGCCAGCCATGTGGTTGACAGGGCGCAGCTGGCGGGTGTGCAGGAGGGAAAGGGGAGGCCGCCGGCAAAGCCACGCAGCTTCCCCACTTGCTGGGGTGCCCCTGAGAGGTTGGCGCCCTGGCGCAACGCGCCAGTAAACCCAATGGGAAAGACAGCTCTGCACACAAGGTTGCTGTTATGATAAAAGAAAAAAAAAGGAGAGGGAGAATCATGTGCTTTGTGTGTGAAGACAGGTTCTAGCAGATTGAGCAGACGAGACCAACAGTGGGTCCAGTGGTCAATAAGGCAGTTTCTGCACATGCTGTAGAGGAAAATGAGGGGCAGATGGGGCACATCAACCTGGGAAGGTAGCCCAACTAGGAGGAAAACTCTGATCCTAAACCTCCATTGCTTTGCAGCTGTACTCATTCATGGGAAAGGCTTTGGGATGAAACCCTGAGGAACAATCCATATGCGCTGCCTTGTGGGACATCTTCAGGATAAGAAGAGCCTAAGGAGTAAACCCTACCCTGTTTGTTGTTAGCCGCCCTGAGCCTGGCTTTGGCTGGGGAGGGCGGGATATAAATAAAATTTTTTATTATTATTATTATTATTATTATTATTAAATGTGGAGTGGAGTCCTTAAGACAGTTGGGTGGCATTTGGTATGCCTAAAATGCATTTTTAAGGAAAATAAATCCCTTGACACAGGAATGTGTTTTGTGAGAGTATATGTATTGACATGCAGATTTTCATGCAGAACTGGAATGGGACAAATTTATGAATGAAAATCTGTGAACTTGACATGGGCTGGGAAAAGGCTCCTGCATCCATCCCCCTAGAACCTGTTTTACCTGTGGGCTGGAGCTGCTGAATGAGGTAGCCCTTCCTTTCCTCCGTGTCTCTTACTGCTTATTCTAAAGCTAAAAGGTCTTCAGCTTCCTCTGTTACTGGTCCAAGCTTAGGCCTTACAGGGGAATGTGTTAATGAAAATAGATTATAGATTGTCTCAATTTAATTTTCTACTGCAGGCCTGCAATCAACCTATTTACTGGTTAGGTGAAGTCAATACAGTACAGTGGTGCCCCGCAAGACGAATGCCTCGCAAGACGAAAAACTCGCTAGACGAAAGAGTTTTCCGTTTTTTGAGTCGTTCCGCAAGACGAATTTCCCTATGGGCTTGCTTCGCAAGACGAAACGTCTTATGAGTTCTTGCGAGTTTGTTTCCTTTTTCTTAAAGCCGCTAAGCCGCTAAGCCGTTAATAGCCGCTAAGCCGCTAAGCTGTTAATAGCTGCTAAGCCGCTAATAGCCGCTAAGCCAAGCCGCTAATAGCCGCTAAGCCACTAAGCCGCTAATAGCCATGCTTCGCAAGACGAAAAAACTGCAAGACGAAGAGACTCATGGAACGGATTAATTTCGTCTTGCGAGGCACCACTGTATATGTGCAGGCTTCCAGCCCCTCATAATTCACTGTGATTGACATATCAGCTTTTCCTGAAAAACTACTCCTATCCCCAGGGCCTGTGTGAGGCTTTATTGGCAGCTAAACTGGGAATAAAGTTTCCTTCTGTCACAGAAGCTGAAGAGGGGATTGCAAATATAATGGCCATGTTCTCTGAGAAGTTGGAGTGTTGCTGAACATTCCATGCCATCCTGCTTACTCAACTGCTTAGTATAACAGCCTCCACAGCAACAAACACAATGTAGTATAGAAGTATAACTCCAGATGTTCCATGGTATGGAGTGATGGCCCCAGAGGTCTTCTAAGGTCATCGTCAAAGCTTGCTAACATTCAGTTCCAGCCTCCTGGTTGAGGCCTCTCATACACCATTATTTGATGGTGTATGTTCCTGGAGGTGATCATAACTTGGCTACATACTTTGCTTTCAGATGCTACGATTCTTTGGCCCCCTTCTCCAGGGGTTTATAGCTCAGCCATAAATATGTATGTCCTGGAATGCCTGTAGGAGTTCTGAGCCAAAAGGCAAATTTGTTTTGCAGAGATCCACAACAAAATATTGATGGACCTTAAAAAAATTTATTAAAATGAGTGTTGTTGAAAAAAAGAGAAACTAATTCAATTGAACTAAACAGTATATTATGGGAAAACAGTGTGGAACTTGCAAAATGGGGCCAAGGGATCTAACATTCAGCTTGCTAGGTTAGGGGGCTATCTAAATAAATAAACAGGCCTCCCAAAGATCATAGAATCATAGAATCTTAGAGTTGGAAGGGACCTAAGGGTCATCTAGTCTAACCCCCTGCAATGCAGGAATCTCAGTTAAAGCATCCATGACAGATGGCCTTCCAACTGCTGTTTAAAAACCTCCAAGGAAGGAGAGTCCACCACCTTTCGTGGGAGGTCAGCTTTTACTGTCAGAAATTTTTTCAAATGTTTAGCTGGAATCTGCTTTCTTGCAACTTGAAGCCATTGGTTCTACTCTCCAGATCAGGAGAAAACAAGCATGCTCCCTCCTCCAGATATTTGAAGATGGCTATCATATCTCCTCTTAGTCTCCTCTTTTCCAGGCTGAACATACCCAGCTCCTTGAAGTGCTCCTCATAAGATTTAGTTTCCAGACGCTTGATCATCTTGTTTGCCTTCCTCTACAGATAGACACAGTGTTCCAAGTGTGGTCTGACTAAGGCATAATAAAGGTAAAGGGACCCCTGACCATTAGTCCACTCGTGACCGACTCTGGGGATGTGGCGCTCATCTCGTTTTATTGGCCGAGGGAGCCGGCGTACAGCTTCCGAGTCATGTGGCCAGCATGACTAAGCCGCTTCTGGCGAACCAGAGCAGCGCACGGAAACACCGTTTACCTTCCCGCCAGAGCGGTACCTATTTATCTAGTTGCACTCTGACGTGCTTTTGAACTGCTAGGTTGGCAGGAGCAGGGAGTGAGCAACAGGAGCTCACCCCGTCACAGGGATTCGAACCGCCAACCTTCTAATCGGCAAGTCCTAGACTCTGTGGTTTAACCCACAGCGCCACCCGCGTCCCAAGATATAAAAGAGTGGTGCTATTACTTCCCTTGATCTGAACACTATACTTCTGTTGATGCAGCCTAAAACAGTGTTAGCTTTTGTTGCGGCTGCATCACACTGTAGACTCATGTTAAGCTTGTAATCTACCAAGACTCCTAGATCCTTTTCACATGTACTGCTAGTAAGCCAGGTGTCCCCCTTCCTCTATTTATGCATCTGGTTCTTCCTGTCTAAGTGCAGAACCTTACATTTGTCCCTCCTGAAATTCATTTTGTTCGCTTGCACCCAGTTCTCCAATCTGTTCAGGTCATTTTGAATTTTGATTCCGTCTTCTGTGGCATTAGCTACCCCTCCCAGTTTGGTGTCACCTGCAAATTTGATGAGCAACTCCTCAATCCCTTCATCCAAGTCATTTATAAAGACACTGAACAACAACGGGCCCAGGACAGAACCCTGCGGCACCCCACTTGTCACTTTTTTCTAGGATGACAAGGAATCATTAATGAGTACTATTTGGGTTCGGTTAGTCAACCAGCTACAAATCCACCTTACAGTTACTTCATTCAACCCACATTTTACCACTTTGCTCGTGAGAATATCATGGGGGACTTTGGTCTGTGATAGTTGGGAAGACTTATGTGGGAATGGTTAATGAAGCTAAGTATAGCCCTGTAGCTGGGTCAGGCCAAAGAACCACCCAAAATCCACAATGGCCAACCAGATATTCATGAGATGCCCACAAAGGCAGGTGTGGCAAATCCCTTTCAGCTTACATTACCTTGTGGGATACATTCCAGTGTTGGGCAGGGCCAGAGGCAAACATGAGTGGGTAGCTGATTCTGCCACTCTCCCCTTTCTTCACACTCTTCAGACAAGTGAGCAGGAGGCATTATCACATATCAATACACTTGAGCTTGGCTCTTTGCTAGGGAAAGGCGGGTGGTCTGTGAAGGATGGGTGGCCCAGGGAAAGTCCCTATGAGAAGTTAAAGGAGGCCTGCAGAATCACATTTACATACCCTCCAACATTTCTCCAATGAAAATAGGGACGTCTTATTCAATAGTAAAAAGGTAAAGGGACCCCTGACCATTAGTCCACTCGTGACCGACTCTGGGGTTGCGGCGCTCATCTCACTTTACTGGCTGAGGGAGCCGGCGTACAGCTTCTGGGTCATGTGGCCAGCATGAGTAAGCCGCTTCTGGCGAACCAGAGCAGCGCATGGAAACGCCGTTTACCTTCCCACTGGAGCGGTACCTATTTATCTATTTCATTTTGACGTGCTTTCGAACTGCTAGGTGGGCAGGAGCAGGGAGCGAGCAACGGGAGCTCACCCCGTTGCAGGGATTTGAACCGCCAACCTTCTGATCAGCAAGTCCTAGGCTCTGTGGTTTGACCCACAGCGCCACCCACGTCCCATTATTCAATAGTACTAACAACAATAATAATTGTATTATTTATACCCCGTTCCTCTGACAGGGTTGCCCCAGCCACTCTGGTTGGCTTCCAACATATATAAAAACATAATAAAACATTGAACATTAAAAAAAACTTCAATATACAGTGTTACCTCTGGTTATGTACTTAATTCGTTCTGGAGGTCCGTTCTTAACCTGAAACTGTTCTTAACCTGAAGCACCACTTTAGCTAATGGGGCCTCCCACTGCTGCCACGCCGCCGCCATGCAATTTCTGTTCTCATCCTGAAGCAAAGTTCTTAACCCAAGGTACTATTTCTGGGTTAGCGGAGTCTGTAACCTGAAGCATATGTAACCTGAAGCGTATGTAACCTGAGGTACCACTGTACAGGGCTGCCTTCAGATGTCTTCTAAAGGTTGTATAATTACTTATCACCTTGGCTCAGGGGTCACATAACTCCAGTGTTTATTTTCTGGGGGGACGCAGGGGTACACATACCCCTAAACATTTTGTGAATCTAAGTTTGGCCTCATTGAGGGGGCAGTATTTCAATATGAGTAGGAAAATGAAAGTACCTACCCCTAAACATTTTTGTTAGAAAAAAAAGCACTGCGTAACTCCATATCCTCCAACATTTCTTTGATGAAAATAGGGGTGTTCTAAGGAAAAGTAGGACATTCCAGGATAAAATCAGAAACAGGGATGGCTCCTGTAAATCTGGGGCTGTCCCTGGAAAATAGGGACGCTTGGAGGGTCTGCATTTAGCTCCTGGGCCTGAGGTTCCCTGCCCTGATTTAGGACTTTACAGGCCACTACCACCACCTTGAATTTGTATATGAAACCCCGTATCAGGGGAATAAAAGTTTTGCAATGTTCATTCAGGCATCAAGCCTTCTTAACAAGCAAGATCAAAACACTTTGCAATGCAGCTCAGCCCAAGTCAGTTGGAAGGGAGCTGAGGGGTCTTGTGAAATGTTTTGCTTTGACCAAGCAAGAGATGAAACTCTTGGAAAACCTCAATTACCAATAACATTTTTAGGAAACTTGGCTGAAGATTAAATTGGCCACAAGAAATGCAAAGCTGGGAGCTCAAATTTCAAAGCAGGAAGATAATGATCAGCATTAAAATGTGGAGTCTCTTAAAATGAGAGAGTGATAATCTCTTGGGGAGGGTTACACACCCTCATCATCTAGGGCTGGTCTTTTGTAGTTGCTGTGCTAAAGCTGCATAGGGACCTATATTGACCCTGTTCTTTAGATAGCTCAGTTAGTTAGAGCATGGTGCTGTTAACACCAAAGTTACAGGTTCAATCCCCACAAAGGACAGTTGCATAGGAGGTTGGACTAGATGATCCTCAGAGGTCTGTCCCAACTTTATGATTCTATGACTATGGGTGGCAGTTTTTTGGGTATGGTGTTACATAGCACAAGTTAGTTTTGCACTGGAGGCTGTCTTGCTCTACTGGCATAGGTTTTGGTGCATGACTTCATTGTTGCTGGAGGATGCTTGTTCAGTGCAACAAATGACTTTTCTGTGTCAAGCTAAACTGGCTCAGGAGCTCCCATTGGTCTGCAAGGGCTGGTGGGGAGGGAAGTGAGTTGATGTTTGAAGGAAAGGAACTGAATTCAAATCCTGCATTTTTATTTTTATTTGCATATTTTATTACTGATTGAAAACCTTTCTCTCAGGGTTTCTGCAAATTAGCATTTGAGAGGATGGGGACAGGAAGCTGTATAACCTTGCTATTGATATCTGCCCTGAGGGAGAAGGAGGGGAACCAGTTTGGGCTTTTGAGGTTCCTTGCCCTATGTGCAAATCTGCACCCTTGCAGCTCCAGTCACTAACGTCTCCAAACCAAGGTCCAATTACACCTTCTGAGTACTTCCTCCAGCTAAGGTGCGGAACCTCTGGTCTATAGGTACTAATTAGACCTGCCAGACCATTTGGGCCAAGCCATTTCCACCTGCGCTACATCATATATGATGTCAGTGGTGGGACAGGTAAAGTATCAGGTGGGCCAAAAAGGGGAATTGTAGTCCCTGCCCATCAGCTGACTGGTTGTGCCTGCAAAACCTTTGAAAGGCACTTTGTAGTCCCGACTATCAGCTGATTGTTGGGGCTTCAAAGCACAGCTCAGGGATCTCTGCAAACTTGAAGAGAGCTCTGTACAGTGGAAACCCCAACAAAAAGCTGGATTCAACTTCACTAGGAAATTCCTCTTTGGGAACTTCCAGATATTGTTGGACTCCCAACTGCTATCAGCCCTGCAAGCATGCCCAATAGTCAGGAATGATGGGACTTGTAGCCCAGCAACAACAGACCCTCCAAGTGTCCCTATTTTCCAGGGACGTCCCTGATTTAGAGAAACCATCATGATTTCTGATTTGATGCCAGAATGTCCCGCTTTTCCTTAGGATGTCCCTATTTTCATTGGAGAAATGTTGGAGGGTCTGGAGTTATCCAACCCCCCGAGCCATCTGAAGGCAGCCCTGTATAGGGAAGTTTTTTATGTTTAATGTTTTATTATGTTTTAATATATGTTGGAAGCTGCCCAGAGTGGCTAGGGAAACCCAGTAAGAAGTGTGGGGTATACATAGTAAAATTATCATTATGGAATGGGATGTCCCTATTTTCATCAGATAAATGTTGGAGGGTATGCAACAACTGGAGGACCAGAGGTTCCTGATTCCAGGTTGTGCAACAGGCTATGTAACAGGAAGTATTGGGGCTCCAGCAGTCTGTTGCACCACCAGAACAAGCCCTTTTGGAGGCAGCCACCTCAAGAGGAATGGAAGATTTGCATATGGGTACTGTGCCTGCCTCCCTGTCTCCTGCCTGCTTTCTTGCAGCAGCAGTGCCTCCGCCTCCTTGGTATACAATGCCAACACCTTTTTTATAGGGTGAAAAAGCACTGGTGGCACCTATAGGTGTGTCCAATCGAGGCAGAGAATCATGCTGTTGTTTCACAGAATCATTTCTAGACTAGTATTGCTATAATAAATATTAGTATAGCAATACTGGGCCTTGCAGGGCTAAAATAATCTATGCTTTCTTGACTCGTGTTAGCAGGGTACGGTAATTTCATTCTGTCACACTCAAATTGTCTAATTATTGAGTTGTTTTGCTTTTGCTTTGTTATGTGTTTTGTGCTTTCATTTTGTATTTTTATGTTTACAGTAAAGCTGATCCTCTGTTAAGCAATGTTCTTGTCCTGGCTTCTTCTCTGAAATAACCTGACAACCTTTCAGGAACTGGCAGTGACGTTTGGTTTTTGGAAGGCAGTTGAGCAATGTCCTGCTGACTGTTACAGTTGAGTAGTACATAGAACTAATCATTTGCAATTTTGCTGCTAGCCAAGATTACAAACTGTGATTTGGAGCTAGTGTGTTTGTGGGGGTGGTGGTAAGAATTCCCTTTGGGGGTTCAATATGGAGGCTTACACCAAGTTCCCAACTGATCAGACTTCATTCAGTGAAGCATTACAGCACAGAGTCCTGGGAGCTCTCCTTTACAACACAAACTACGGTATATTGGGGGGGAAATATGTCATATTGGCTGTTTTATCCTCTCCTCAACCATCTTCTGCTGCCCTTCACTCCACCATTCCTCATCCAGCCAAAGCTCTTTCTCTTTATTGTATGTGCAGAGTTGCCTTGTGGAGTTGTTTTTCACTCTAAGACCGTTCACCTTTTACCGGGTGTATAGAGTTACAGCCAGTCAGCCGAGCCTCAACAGCCTTCTGGTGTAAAGGGAGGCACTTGACTTCCCTCTCATGTCACTGCCGGCCGCGTCATCAGTGCTGGGGACATCCCCAGCCAATCTGCTGCCAGGGGGACATGGCCGTAGGCCGTTTAATTACGCTGCAACTGGCCATCTCATTGGCCGGGAACTTCATTCTCTGTGTCTTTACTAATTTATTTAAAGAACAACAAACTGGTGATTGCTTTAACTTTTTGATATGTGGTGATTTGAATCATGAGGATGCATTAGAAGAACTGCTGAGTCTTGAATGAGTCTTGCTTTGGAATTGAGGACTTCATTAGATTTCCTTCTGCCTTTTCATTTTATTTTGTCCTAAGGGCTTGTTAGAGATACAGTGATACCTCTGGTTAAGTACTTAATTCGTTCCGGAGGTCTGTTCTTAACCTGAAACTGCTCTTAACCTGAAGCACCACTTTAGCTAATGGGGCCTCCCGCTGCCATGCAATTTCTGTTCTCATCCTGAAACAAAGTTCTTAACCTGAGGTACTATTTCTGAGTTAGCGGAGTCTGTAACCTGAAGCGTATGTAACCTAAAGTGTATGTAACCCGAGGTACGACTGTAATGTGTAAGCATGGTGTCAGCTCCCCAAAAAAGGTCAACAACTCTGGGGTTCCCTCCCTTAAAAAAGGTTGCCAACTCTGGGAAAGGGGGGGGCACAGGGATCTTTGCACCACCACGCCGGATATGCTTAAGACGGCCCTGAAGATGTGTCTATTCAACACACACTGAAGCTCTAATTATCACTAACTTTAACTTTTGCATCTCATTGTCATTCCCTCCTTCCTTGCATTTCATTTCATGCATCTAACAAAGTGTGCTTGAAAAGTCCACACACAAAAAACAACATTAGCTTGAAGGTGCCATGGGACTATGTCTTGTTTTTGCTGCAAGAGAGTAACATGGCTACTCCTCCGGAAATTTCCCAAAAATATTTGAAAACGGAAAAAATACTAATTTTATTTTTAATGTCCCTTTTCTTAAAAATAGCCTTCACAATTATTAAGAGCAGATGTAGGAGAAATATTTTAAGAGGCTTTTTGTGCGTGTATGTGTGAATACCACATCCCTTCATAAATATATTTATATATAAACACACATTTATCAGAACGATTCCGGTGGGGCTTTCAGGGGAACTGAACACTTACAATTAAAGAAACCCCGATATACAAGCCCAGAGTGGCTGCGAATTAGCTCAGTGTCGAGTGCAGGTGTACTAAACATTTCACAAAGATCAAAGCAACAAATACTTTGTGTGTGTGTGTGTGTGTGTGTGTGTGTGTGTTGCATCTTCTCCTTGAAACTGTAAGGTTTGAGCTTATGTCCTCAGCTAACTGTAGAAACACCCACCAAGGCTTTGACATAAGGTCTTCTGGCTTTGTTAGTTCCAGCCACTCACAACCATAATGTTATTTCAACATATCTTGAGCTTTTAATTCCCCCTTTAATATATTCTCAATGGAGCAAAATGGAAAAAATGAAAAAAAGAAACGTATTTCCACCGTGCGACAATGCTTCTGACATCTGCTTCCAAGTGTTATTAATCATCTCACAGTGTAACAATCTGAGAACTCAAGTACATTGTACCTTTTGGAAAAAATGACTCTATATAATTGCTTCCCATAACAATCCTTGCCCTTTTCTTTTAATGATCACAGCTCTGTGGGCATTTAAGGAAAGGAATTATCATAGCCCACCTAGGCTTCCAGTCAATCAGTTCATCTGAAAGTTGCCACCTACAACAACCCTTTGTTATTACTAGCTGCTAGGGTGTGAACAGAAAATTCAGTTTGACCCTGGATTTGGCACTTTTGGGAGTGAAAGCCAGATTTAGCTCAAGTCTGAATCTGAATCCAAATTTGGGGAAACTTGTGCCTTATATTGCACTATTATGGAAAATTCTTCTTCTTCTTCTTTTAAAAAAAGCTATAACTTGTTTTCTTTTTGACAGAACTGGATGTAATTTGCAGGAATATTATCCCCTTATGAGTTAATAAATCTTGCTGAATCCCCTCCCCCCAAAAAGCTGTTGGGGAGGGGTGTTTAACTGTGCATCTTTGATTTTTTTAAAAGAGTCATTTATATCCTACAATTATTATTATTATTGGCACATTTGGATGAAATCCGCAAGTGTAATCATGCCTGAGATAATGAACACCACCAAATTTCAGAAGCATAACTGCTGTGGTTTTTCCTGCAGGGGCAGCCTATACTTTACAGGGCTTTAAAAAATGATTCATTTTAACTCACCTATTGTTTTGTGGCTGATTTGTATGAAAATAGCACAGGGGTGCCCCCAAATCGGTTAGAACGACAAACAAGGTGTTGTTTGTTTGTTTTCTGCTAAGTGCCTTCAAACTTGAGGGAAGAACTAAACAGAATCCACTTCCTTCCCTGTGGTTTTGTGGGCAGTGATTTTCATGTGAAAATGGCACTCATCATAGAGCTGCTCCTAGGAAAGCAACTGCAAAATTTCAGGATAACTGAAGGGGCTAGGGAGCGATGACGCAAAAGTGCAGCAAAAGTCACAGAAACTAATTGCGAAACTGATTTTAATGGGGGTGG